GTGACCCTGGGCAAGTCACTTAACCCCATTGCCTAGCCTAAATAAATAAATAATGAAGAAAATAACTGAACAACAAAAAGAATTTAGTAAGTGCCTACTGTGTGTAAAATATTTTAATCATCCACTTTTTAAAAAATTATTAAATTATGGCTGTCCTGAGAAAAACAAAAGACTCTCAAGATATCCATAAATTTTTTTTTAAAAAGCATTGGTTTTTTTCAAAACTCTTCCATTTAAAGTCTCATCAGGTGCTCTCAACTACAAAGTTTTTTTCATTGAGAGAAGGTTGCTTAGAACGAAAGAGGAATCCTTGCAGAGCTAGAATGGACCCTGGAGATCATCTGGGAAGTGAGAGGGTTGGGCTAAAAAGTCCCTCAGGCACCCCCCAGCTCTGACACTCTCTGGTTCAATAAAATAGTCTCTCAATTCAGATAAAGCGATAAGACACCCATGAAAAGAGGCATCACCAGACTGGCGCACATAGTGAGTGTGCTAAGAGCTTCGGAGGGAGAGCTCTTAAGGACTAGAGAGGTCAAAGCTTCCCTGAGGATACAGGACTTGGGTTAAGCCTTCAAAATCAATAGAATTTGGGGCAGCTGGTTGGCACAGTTGATGGAGCACCAGCCCTGGAATCAAGAGGACCTGAGTTCACATCCAGCCCTGGACACTTACTAGTTGATGACCCTGGGCAAGTCACTTAACCCCGATTGCCTCCAAATAAAACAAAATTAATAGGATCTCACTAGACCAAAAGAAGTAGAAGTACAGTGTCTGGTCTTCCCGGCATGGAGAAAGCTATCAGAAACAAAGCTAGAGAGCATGGCTGACCACAAGGCTGAAGGGGAAGTTTTAAACCTGGGAGCATATGGAGGTGTCTGATGAACAAAGGGATGTGGTCATTGTACCACGTTGCTCCCCTGCTCAAGGTCGAGTGATTCCCTGTTACCTCCAGTATAGAAGTCCTCTGTTTGGCATTTAAAGCCCTTCACAATTTAGCTCCAGCCTATCTACATTTCCAGGCTTACTGCCTCCCTTCACGCACACTTACCTTCCAGCCACACTGACTTCCTGGCTAGTCCCAATGCACAACACGCTCTTTTCCATCTCTCTGCCTTTGCAATGCCTGGGTCCCCTGCCAGGAATGCTCTAACCTCTTCGAAACCCCAGCTTCCTTCACGACTCAGCTCGAGCAACATCTCCTACATGAGGCCTTTCCTAATTCTCCTGTTGCTAGTGTCATCCTTCCCCACTCCCTTAAAATATAACAAAACTCTTACTTTTATTTACTTTTCATAATTTTATTTACTTACCTACATATGTATTTTTTTCCCACAATAAGAATGCCATTTTATTTTAATAATACAATTATTATTGAGACCATTTTATTTTAATCACTGTATTCCCAGTCCAGTGCTTGGCACACAGTAGTGTTTAATAAATACTTGTTGAATGAATGGATATATGAGTGAATTAATGAAGTTGGGAGACCTGCATTCAAATCCTGGCCCTGCCATTTACTAGCTGGGTAACTTTAGCAAGTCCTTGCCCTTTGCTGAGCTTCAGTTTCCTCATCTGCAAAGTGAAGGGGCTGGTCCCTTCTGGCTCTGACGTTCACACAAGATCACATCTCGATTTTGAAGGGACTTCTGAGGCTGTCTGCTCCACACCACCCCCTCCTCACTTGACAGATGAGAAGAACGAGGATCAAGGTCATAGAGACAGTCAGCGTAAGAGACTCCACAGTCAGTGCGTTTTCCACGTTCCCACAATCCAGTGGAGCCTCCTTAGTCCATGGGGTTAAGCACCGGTGCCAGGCCTGGGTTGTAGGCTACCCTTTTTAGCTCATTCTGTAGAGGAGAGAAGCACCATCCAATGGGAAGAGAAATGGAACTTGGGAAACCTCGGTTTGCCTAAGGTCCCGAGAGAGAGGAAGATGCTCAGCGAAGGCTACATAGCAGATTAGTGGCAAAGCCAAGCACACAGCCAACTGCTCCCAACTCCCAGCCCGGGGCTCTTTGCCATCTTGCTGTTTTAAGACAGGCTCAGAGTATAATTTAACAAATGGCAAGCACACTCCAGGTGGAGTTAGATACCCTAGGTATCAGTGCTGCTGGCTCTGCCACTGATGGTACCCATGTGACCACAAGTGAGTCATTTAACTTCTAGACCTGTTTCCCCTCTAAAACATGAAGGGGTCGCTGCAGCTAGGTAGCACAGTGGATAGAGCACTGGCCCTGGAGTCAGGAGGACCTGAGTTCAAGTCCAGCCTCAGATACTTGACACTTACTAGCTGTGTGACCCTGGGCAAGTCACTTAACTCCAATTGCCTCACCAAAAAACAATGAGGGGCTCTATCTACTGAACTCTACCATCTTTTCTCTCTCAAGCCTGTGATCCTATGATGCTCACAGCTTTACACCTGTGAACCTGTGATCCCAAGGTTGAGGGGGCCCCCAACATTCTTGACTGTAGTGGGGAAGCAGGATCCCCAAATTCTTCTTCCCAGGGTTCTACACCACTATCTGCTCCCCACACGTTGGCCCAGGGCTATAGAATTCTGGCCCAGAACTGGAGCTGGTCTTGACAGAGTTGATGAGGGGGAAAGAGGTGGGAAGGAGGGTGGCTCCAGGTGATGGCTACCATCCATCGACCTCCTCCTACCCCAACATTCCACAGTGGAATCATCGTCCCTGCCTGCTCCTGGAAGCCCAGCCATGGAGACCCCAGGGCACAAGCAGCATCCCAGGAGGCAGAGCAGGGGCTGGTAAGGGAGAGAGGGCTGTGAAGAGGAGATTGAACAGTGCTCAGGGGACAGACTGACTGACTTCCCCTCACGTTTGTTTCCATGAGGGTTTTTCTAACCACAGCACGCACGCCAGAGTCGTAATTACTCCTTTGGAGTTGTTCTGCTCTGTTGCATAAATAATATGCAATTTAAAGGAAAAAAATGTATGATTACATATTTAACGGCTCGATGAAGCTGTTCTGGTCTGCTGGCCCCATAATAAGAGTTTTTAAAAATTGTCTTAATACACTATTTACCCAGGAGAGTGGAAGGGCTCCAAATGAGGATGAGCCATTTGTGATTTCAGGACTTAAAACCACACTTCTTTTGTAACCTTTCTTGGACAATTGTTGCCCTGATTTGAATTTTTAGATAAAAGGAAAATCAAGGCTAAGGATAGAACCAAGTAGAGAATGCTCTTCTCCTCGGAGCTGGATGAAGGGCTCCTGACTCAGTCTCTTTCTTCATATCATCTCCCCTAACTCCACTCTCACACCCTCACACTGGCGAGGTTTGGCACCTCAGAGTATAACAACAATGATGATGAGTGTGACATTTATATAACACTCTAAAGTTTGCAAAGCTCTCTCCATACATTGTCTTATTTGAGCCTTACCCTTAACGTAGGTCCTACAGATTACAGGATCACAGACTGAGAAGCATTCTCATCTAACCCCCACATTCTACAGAGGGAGAAACCAAGACCCAGAGAGGTTAGGTGATTTATCCAAGGCCACACAGTAAGCTGCAGAGGCATTGACCCCAAAGCCAATACTCCTTTCCCTCTGCAGGTAGTATTCACAGATGAGGAAGACTGTAGCTTAGAGAGCCTAGGTGACTTGTCCGTGGTCTTACAAGTAGTTTGTGTCAGAGGTGGGACTTAAGCCTAGGTCTTGCTAACTCTAAGTGCATCCACTGTGTCATACCAGGCAGCTAGGTGGCGCCAGAGTGCACAGAGCATCAGGCCTGGAGTCAGGAAGACTTGAGTTCAAATCCAGCCTCAGACACTTCCTAGCAGTGTGACCCTGGGTAGGTCATTTAATGTCTCTAGGCCTCAGTTTCCTCCTCTGTAAAATGAAATGGTCTGATTAGCTGCCCTCTAAGATCTATTCTCACTCTAAATTTCTGATCCTATGACCCTCCCAGCTTTAAATCTGTGAGCATGTCATTCAGAGTCAAGCAGCCACCTGGCATTCGTGATTATAGAGGGAAAATGGGATCCCCAAATTTTGCCTAGATTTCTACACTACATTTTACAGATGAGGAAACTGAGGCCAAGAGCAATTAAGTGGCTTGCCCAGGATCACACAGGTAGTATCCGAGGTAGTCTTCCTGAATCCAAGTCCAGTGTATAGATACTTGCCATCTGGCTGTTTCTCTAAGCCCCCCTTCCAGTATAGGAAATAGCGAGTTCTCCATCTTTAGGGGTTGTCAAGGGAGGCCTGTCTGACCACTTTTCTGAGTGTCATATTAGGGATTCCAGCTTCAAGAAGAAGTTTGAATCCTGGCTCTGCCACTTATTAGCCATGGGACTTTAAACAAACCACTGGCCTCCTCTGAGCCTCAGTTTTCTCTTCATCTCTGAGGTGACTCCCAGCTCTAAATTCTTTGTCACTCTGAATGAACATTCAGCAGTATGGCGTAGTGGATAGAGGGCTGGCCTCAGAGTCAGGGGGGACCCAGAGCTAGCTCATGTTAGCTGGGGGACTCTGGGCTTGTCTTTTAACTTAGCAGTGCCTCAGGCAGCTTTCTGTGACTAGACTCTGCTGATGGATTGTGGCCTGGTATCTGTCAGATTTTCCACACCAGGATGTCTCTATACAAATGAGGTTTTGGTTCTGGACCAAAAAACAACAATGAAAAAAAAAACCACTGACCATGTTCACTGAATGACAAGGAAAATGTATGGTCCCTGGCACACGGCAGGCACTCAATAAATGTTTCTTGATTTGAATTAACTTATGGACGTATGTTTTGCATAATGGTATATTGCTTGCCTTCTCAGTAGGTGGAAGAAGGGTTAGAGGAAGGGAGGGAGTTTAGAACTCAAAATTTTAAAAAACACATCAAAATAAATAATGGATTTGAATTAACTTGAATGCTGCTCAGTAAAGGTGAATCTGGTTGATGTCTCTAACTTTGGCCTTCTCCTGGGCTGGGAGGACCGTAGGCCCCTTCCCCTGCCATGTGGCAAGAGGGCTTTCCTTGGTTTCAGACCGGCATCAGGGAAGGTGCCTTCTTCCACCTTTGTGATGACCATTGCTTCCCCAGGGAGCCTTCTTGTTCAGATGGAGGAGTGAAGGGCTGCCATGTTCTTCTTCTGATAGCCCTGGGGAGGCAGGGCCTATCCAGGGGGCATGAGCGTGGTACAGCCCTCCCATCAGGGCCTGTTGTCCCATTGTGCAAAGCGCTAAGCACCGTGGGTGAGATCAGAATGGGCTGAGGCTAAGGCAGTCACTGCAGAGCCAGACAGGGCAGAGGGCAAAGGGCTGTGGTCAGAAGGTTCGGGCCTCCAGGATCTGGGCGGTCTGTAGGGTAGCTGTATTAAGGGAGGATGGAAGGATAAGTCCAGACCATGTTAATAATGTCAATAATGACAAAAGCAACTAAAATTCATAAAACACTCAAAGCTTTGCAAAGCCCTTTTCATATATTACCTCATTTCATCCTCAAAACAATCCTGTGAAGTAGGAGAGGCTAGGTAGAGCAGTGGATAGAGCACCAAGCCTGGAGTTAAGAAGACCTGAGTTCAAATCCAGCTTCAGGTACTTTAGCTGTAAGATCCTGGTCAAGTCACATAACCTTTCTTTGCCTCAGTTTCCTCACCTATAAAATGGGAATAATAACAGCACCTGACTCCCAAGGTTGTTGTGAGGATCGAATGAGGTAATAATTGTATAGTTCTTAGCATACAGTAAGCACTATGTAAATGTTAGCCATTGTTATCATCATCCCCATTTTACAGATGAGACAAATAAGGCCCAGAGAGGTTAAGTCATTTGCCCAAAGTCATACAGCTGGTGAGTATAATAGGTGAGATTGCACCTAGAATTTTCTCGATATTGAGACTTAACACTAAAGGTACTGAGCCATGCCACAGCTGCCCAAGAGCCCGACCGTCACAGAGCAGATCTGTGTCTTTGGATGCGTGTATGTGGCTCTGTCTTTGTGGGACTATGGGTCCCATAGATGGCCAAATAGGAGGCTTGTGATGTGGGAGTCTGCAGGAACACTTGGCTTTTGCCCCCGCTCATGTTTTCTCCCAGCAGAGCTGGAGGATTTGGAGTTATTATATGAGTCAAAAGAAGAACATTTGCTGTTGTTTTCAATCATGTCCGACTCTTCGTGACCCCGTCTGGGTTTTCTTGGCAAAGATATTAGAGTGGCTTGCTATTTCCTTCTCTACCTCATTGTACAGATGAGGAGACTGAGGCAAACAGGGTTAAGTAGTCCACTTGCCCAGGGTCACACAGCTAGGAAGTGTCTGAAGCCAAACTTGAACTCAGGTCTTCCTGACTCCAGGGTCCAATGCTCTATCCCTGCACCACCTGGCTGCCTTAGAAGCGCCTAGGGAACATTTCTGTCTTTTCCAGCGGTGGTGAAACAGATAACAGCATAATCCAGGGTATTTTCAACCACTTGCGGCAGTTTCTACTGTTTTTCACTCCGTGCACAATCTGTTGTCAGTAACGCCTTAAAGGAACACGATTGTTCGATCTCACTCCATGTCAGTGATTCAGAGCCATGCTCCATTTGATACATCTTGGAGCTCTTTAGCCTTCATCTGTAACTTTAAAAATTAACGGTTAGCCAATAATGCAGCAGACAACGTCTGCTTCACTTAATCACGGCCAAGACTTCTAGTAAATTGTGTTTTCCGTTCTAAAAAAGAGGAGAGAGACCTCACACTTGGGCGAGTAGCACAAGGGGTGACGCGCCCATAGGAGAGCAGAGGTCACTCAAGCTCCACAGCTCCCTTTGGTTGTTTCCAGAATCTTTCGGATCCCCTATTCATTTGCATCCCTGCTGCTTCCTAGGTCAAATAACAGTCATTGTTCTCACCTCTTCCTTCATGGAAGCCTAAGGAAAAATTTGAGTTCAGTGAAAGACATGGAATATGTGGATTGCAGCTGGTAAAATGGAGAATGGGCCATATCCCAGTCCAGGGGCAGGGAACCTGTGGCCTTGAGGCCCCATGTGGCTCTCTGGGTCCTGCAGTGGGGCCCTTTGGCTGAATCCAAACCGAGTCAAAGGACTGCACTTGAAGTCACGTGCGGCCTTGAGGCCCCATGTGGCTCTCTGGGTCCTGCAGTGGGGCCCTTTGGCTGAAGCCAAACCGAGTCAAAGGACTGCACTTGAAGTCACGTGCGGCCTTGAGGCCCCATGTGGCTCTCTGGGTCCTGCAGTGGGGCCCTTTGGCTGAATCCAATCCGAGTCAAAGGACTGCACTTGAAGTCACATGTGGCCTTGAGGCCACAGGTTCCCCATCCGTGTCCTAATTTCTGGAAATTATCATGCTAGTGACTGGCCACAGATGGCGTGGGGCCTCTGACATCTGACTGATTCCCCACAACATAGACCACATAAGACTGAGAGAAATTATTATCAATAACCAGTGATTTGGGGAGGTTCAGATTTCTCCCTTTTTCTTTTATCTTCATTTCAAAACCTCAGTCTCTGAAGGTTGAGCTAACCTTCTTCTCTATCCAGACCCCACCCAGGTAGGGAAGCCATTGTGTTCTGCTCAGGCTTGGGTGGGGGTAAATTCTTCCAATAGATTGCCCAAGGCTGGGGCTAACTTAAGAAGTAAAGATGTAATCAGAGTTCAAGTTCAGCCCCTCATTGTAATATCCATTCTCTCATTAATTGTTAACCAATCAGAGTTGATTGCCACCCTCGCGTAACACCCCTCTTCCAGAGTATGTGAGTCAGCCACTATGATGGTCTTTGGTCTAAGAGAATGATGGCCAAATAGCCATCCTTTTATCAAAATGCTGGCATTATTAATAATATGATTAAATTACCCAGAAATTATAACTCTCAAACTTTTATAAATGCCACAGTATGCACTTATGAAAAGGCAGTTTTCCACAAAACATACCCTCTCTCAAGCCCTCACTCTGCAAAATTTCAAGAATTTGAGTCATATTAACATAGACAAGTGGTAATGATTTGGACAAAGTTTGGGCTGAAGGGTAAGCCCATACTCCCTGTAAGCAGTTTGCTAAACTGTAAGGATTGCAGTAGGTTGATTTAACCTACTTCCGTGAACAAACTTGTTTTTTGTATTTGAGAAGCATCTATTTCTTTAACCACTTAATAAATATTTGTTGAATAAATAAGTGAGCCATTGCTACACCAATTAAAAATTACCCACTTATTATAAAGCAGGGTAGTTTTGAAAATGATGTGTATTTATTACATGGTTTTTCAAAAAAAGTAAACAGTGTGAAATGGAAGTCCATAGTTTTATCTGAATCCTCTTTTTATGTTGTGCTGTGTACACAGAAATGTTTTCTTTTTTGTCTTTTTGTATTTAAATTCAAAAATAAATAATTTTTAATTATCTACTTATTAAAGCAAGTTTAAATAATGCTGTAGTTGAATGAGCTCAGTATGAGCTTAAGAACACTAGATTTAAAGTCAGAAGAATGGAATGTCTCTGCCATTTACTCCTCACATAATCTTGGGCAAGTCACTTAACTTCTCTGGCCTCAGTTTCCTCAACTGTGAAATGAGGGGATTGTAGTAGATGACCTCAAAATTCTCAGCTATAAGTATGTTATCTTCTGTTGTCTTTTAAAAAATACAATAACCTTTCATTTACCTTCCAGTATTTATCCAGCAGCTTAAGCTGTGTGGAACAAGGTTAAGAACCAGAAAGGAAGAAAAAAAAAAGACCTTTGAGTATCAGGAGAGCCTCAGTGCCTGCTTACTCTTATTTTGCAGACAATTCTGACATGGGCTTTGTAAATCTTAAAGTAACACAAAAATGTGAGTTGCCATTATTTTGCTCTCCATCCCAAAGCATATCAGAAGTAACAAACTGATGGAGAAAAGAGGTGACATTGCTAGAGGCAGGCACCTTGAAAAAGGAAGGAAGTAGTAGCCTAACATGGAAGGAAGCATGAAAAGCATTAAAAGCTTATAGGAAGGGAAAAGGGAATAAGCACTTATATAGCACCTACTGCTTGCCAGACACAGTGCTAAGTGCTGTAATTTGATCTTCACAACAACCTTGGGAAGTAGGTACCGTTATTATCCCCATTTTACAGTTGAAGAAACTGAGGCAAACAGAGGCTCAGTGACTTACCCAGGGTCACACAGCTAGTAAGTGTCTGAGGCTAGGTTTGAACTCAGGTCTTCCTGACCCCCAGGCTGAGTACTCTGTCCACTGTACCACCTGGCTACCTCAAATGATAGGAGGAGCACCAGGGCAAAGGTGAAAGAGCCCTGGATTTTTAATCTAAATGTCTTTGCCATTCACTATCTGTATAACTTCGGACAGTTCATGAAGCATCTGGGCGTCATGGTGGCTACGCTCTGGATTTTGAGTCAGGAAGACCTGAGTTTGAATCATGCCTCAGATATTTACTAGCTCTGTAACGCTGGGCAAGTCATTTGACCTCTGCCTCAGTTTACTCATCTGTAAAGCTAGGAGGTTGATCTAGATCCTATGAATTCCCCATATCTAACCATCAGGGCCGATTGGTGGAGAGCCAATAGTTCCCTTGCCTGTGTGGACCACATTAACCTCTGAAGACTTACCTGTGTTACAACCCAGAAATGATAGCCTGAGTCTCAGGGAAAAGTTTGAACAATGCTCAGGACCCTCTGTAAGAAGGAAAGGAAGCATGCAATCCATCTCAGCAAAGTTTCCCACTGGAAATGGGGAAAAAAAGAAAAAACAAATTAAAAACTCAACTGTCTAGGAGCTTAAAAGTGTAAACCTCATTTATCTAGAAAATTCACTTATCTGAATCAGGCCCATTTCATGCTAGTGGTGGATAACTGAGGTTATGCTGCATCCTCTGATGGGTGGCCCTCGGACTCATCTCACAGGGATCCAGGCCTTTGTGCCATGCCGCTGCATTGTTACCTCACCTTCATCCCCCTGTTTTCCCCTGTTTAGTATGTGTTGCCTTCTACCATTCAAATGTAAGCTTCTTGAGGGCAAGGACTTTTGGTTGCTTGTATTTGTATTCCCAGCCCTTAGCACAGGGCCTACCACATAATAAACACTTAATAAATAATTTATCTGTATATCTAAACAAATAGTTATGGGGGGCATGCTTGTGGAGAGACAGAGATGGATAAGACCTCCCACCTGCCCTCATGGAGCTCTGTCTGGTTAGCTAAGGACCTGTGGCCTGGTGACCTACATTTTGGTTTTCACCCACCACCTCTCCCCGACCTCTCTAAACCATCAGCCACCTGGTGTCTGGGGGCCCAAAGGCTGCTTCACCCTCTGCACCCCAGCCTGTGGTTGAGGCTGGGAAGTATGTTTGAGGTCAGCCAGCATGGCTTCAACCCAAGGAAAGAGGCTTTCAAAACACCTTAAACCAGCCTTCCATCCCACAGGTACCTTCAGGGTACCAGGCAATGTGACCCAGAGATCTCTGGGGCATTACACACGGCAGAACTAATTGGGATCCATTGCTGATACTGACCCCGATTTGAGACCTACCTACCTCCTCATTCTAGATCAAGGGTGAGAAAGCTGCAGCCTTGAGGCCAATGTGGCCTTCTAGGTCCTTGGGTATCCTTTTATTAAGGGGATTTGTTCTGTGAAGTTTGGATTCTGTTAAAGGGCCATACTTGAGGACCTAGAGGGCCACATGCGACCTCAAGGCCGCAGGCTCCCCACCCCTATTCTAAATCATCTTTATTTCACCTAAGCCAGGAGCCCAGAGGAAGCCATTCCTGGACTCTCAGGGGAGCCTGGAGAAATGGTAGAGCCCTGCTTCCTCTTCCATGGTACTATCAACATGGTAAACATCAGAAATTGAAGGGGAAGTTAATAATAGCAGTTATTATAAAGACAGTTTTAAAGACAGAGTAACAGAGTGAATAGAGTAGTAGGCTTGGAGTAAAGGAGATCCCATCTCTAACACTTACTAGTTGTGTGACACTGGGCAAGTCCCTTAACCTCTATGTTTGATCTCTACATTGATGGAGGGAGTTCCCACACTTGAGAGTTCCTCTACAAATCATAGCATTGTAGATGTAGATTTGGAAGAGACCTTAGCATCCAGCTAGTTCAACCTCCCTCATTTTACAAATGAGGAAACTGAGGCCTGAGCGATGAAATGATTTGCCACAAGGTCACACAACTAGAAAGTGTCAGAGGCAGGGTTTGTACCTAGGTCTTCTTACTCTAAAGACTCTGTTTTTTCCCTCTGTATCACCACCTGGGCCTCTCCAGGAAGTGTCAGCTTTTTACAGATGTATGTTGTTTGACACTTTGTCTCAGTATCCCCAGGGCCAAACACAATACCTTGCACACATTTTGTACCCAACCTGTGACTTCACTGATGTAGGGAAGCTGCCTCTGCCAATGAATATTGTCCCCTATTCTGCAACTTTCAGTCTTAGTGAGGTGACTGGAATATGGAGAGCTTAAGGGATCTGCCCAAGGTCACACAGCCGGAAGGCTTGAGCCCTGCTGCCTCTGCCTTGGAGGATAACTACCACTCTATCTCACTGCTTTGCACGTAATAAGTTCTTAGTAAATGAATTGAATCCTTGTTGATTAATTGATGGCAGAGTAACAGTTGAGGCTCCCAATCCTTCACATGTATCTCATTTTGATGGATCAAGCCTCTTTATCCTGAAAGAAGAGACGTATTTCAGGCCTCCAACAGTCCCGAAGGATAGATGGAGTGAAGTGGACAGACCTGGCCTCTCCCAACACAGCCACCCCCGAGAAGCTTGACCTTGATTGAGGCAGACATCACTTCTTTACACAGCAGCCTGCAAACATCACCATTCACCATAGGTTACTGAGGCTACCTGATGGACCGTGGTCCCAAACCAAGTTGTCAAGGGAGCTCCAGAAGCTTGGGGATTTCCTTGGGGCTTGACTTGCAGGAGGAGACCCACAGCCAGCCACCCCTCTACATCCTTTCGTCCCTCTGCCAAACGTTTCAGGGCTGAGAGAGCTCAGAGCTGGCCCAGAGAAATGTTTCTCAAGCCTGGTTCAATCAACAAGCAATCCTTAATCACTTCCACAAGGAAGTGCAGTGATAGAGAGTTGGACTTGGAATCAGGAGGACCTGAATTCAAATCTGTCCTCAGACACTTACTAGCTGTGTGATCCTGGGCAAGTCACCTAACCTCTATCTACCTCAGGGTCTTCATCTCTAAAATGGGGGTGATGATAACCCTTATCTTCCAGGGTTGTTGTGAAGATCAAATGAGATCATTGTAAAGTGCTCGGCCCAGTGTCTGGCAAATATATAAATGCTTATTCCCTTCCCTTCAATCAATAGATGTTTATTCATATCTGTTCTGTTCCAGTCTCTCTACTAAGTGATAAGGGAGGGGAGAAGGAGGAAAGAAAGGGAAGGGAAGGAAGCAGTATTTGCTCTCAAGGAGCCCACATTCTAGTAGAAAAGAAAGCATTAAATCTAAGTGCGTGTAAGATACATGCAGTGTCGACAGAAAGTTACTGTAAGAGGGGAGGGCCTAGCAGCTTCCCACCTGTATTAGTCACATAACCTAGAAGGACCTCATTTTCCTCATCTGAAAAATGAGTCAATTGGACTAGCTGTTCTTTCTCAGCTCTAAATCTGTGCTTCTGTTTCTGACCATCAGAGATCATTAGGTAGAGCCTCCTGCAGAGTTGGGTTTGAGCTGAATCTTTGACGGAGAGTCAGAGGTGAGACGGGAGACGTGGGCAGGACGTTAAGCAAAAAGACACAGCATTGGGAGATGGAGTGGGTGTACAAGGAAATGCCAGTTGGCCAGCATGACTTGACCATAGAGTTTGTGAGGGTTGTTTTAAAGAACTAGAAAGATATGAAGGGAGAAGCCTGTAAAGAGCTTTAAGTGACAAACAGAGAAGCAAGTTGTATTTGTTCATGGAAGTAATAGGGATCCACTGAAGTTTCTTGAGTAGGAGACTATGGTGGTCAGATCTATGCTTTAGGAAGATCTCTTTGGCAGCTGAGTGGAAGATGGGTTGGAGAGGGGGGATACTTGAGGCAGAGAATCTAATTAGGAGACTATTTCAGTAGTCCAGGAGAGGGGTGAGGAGGGCCGGAAGAAAGCACCATGTAAGCCTTTATTGTCAGCCTGAGTGGCCTGCCTGACCTTTTCAGTCTGACTTGTGGCTGGGGGCCAGCAGTGTTGTGTGGAGCTCACCCACAGCCAGCCTGCCTAGAGCTGCAGAGGTGATTATGTAAAGGTTGCTGGTGACCATGTTCCAAGCAGCAGCCTGTCAGGGCAGGGAGAAGGGAGAAGGGAGAAGGGAGCAGGGAGTTGAAACCTGGCCCAAGCTCAGACTCTGAGGCCCCAGGGCAGATCTGAAAGCCATCCCTCCATCTTCCTTTTGTCCTGTCTGTTGAATTCAAAGTCAACATTGCTCTACCGCTTATATAGGATAATATACAAGCTCTTCAGCTTGTCCTTTAAAGCCTGTCATGACATGTTCCCAATCAATAAAGCAGCTCAATATGGTGGAAAGAATGCTATATCTGGAGTCAGAGGATCTGGTTCAAATCCTCACTCTGCCATTCACTAGCTGGGTGACCTTGTGCAAGTCACTTAACCTATACTGGCCTCATTTTCCTCATCTGCAAAAGGGCCTTACAGTTCTTTCCCAGCTCGAAATCTATGCTTTTACGATCCTGTTGGCTGGCAAGGGTCCAAGAACAAAAGGGTTGTCAGGGGGCCAAAAGAGTTGTTTTCCATGTGACCCTTCCCAGTAAAGACAGGGCTCCCTTTGAACAAGGAGGGCTAATTTCTGACCGTAAGCTAAAAGTTTTGAACTCCAATTCTTTGATTCTTCCTTATGATGTATGTTTTATGAACCAATGGGAAAATACATTTTTAATTTTAAAACACTGTTCTCCTAACCCAGATTCAGGAGATGGTCCATGCAGAAGCATCGTCCTACGACTCCACCAGGCAGGTGTCCCTGCTCAATCGCCCCACGATGCTGGCCAGTCACATGAGCGCCCTCAGCCAGTCCCAGCTGATTTCACAGATGGGAATAAGGAGTGGGGTGAGCCACGGCTCCCCATCACCCCCAGGAAGTAAATCAGCTACACCATCCCCCTCCAGCTCCACGCAGGAAGAGGAGACAGAAGCACATTACAAGGTATGAGCAGTACCTTTATTGGAAAACACTTGGTGAGGGTCACAGTGATGACCTGGGGCTTAACCTTTTCCAGGCTTATTATACATTAGATCTCTTTCCAAACTCCCCCTACATGCTAACGCTTTCCCCTCCCTGAAATTACCTTATATTTATATTCTTATATGAGCATATATTGTCTCACCCTATAGAACATGTCCTTGTATCCCCAGAGCCCAGTACACAATAAACACGTAATCTGATTGATTGATTAGTAGAAAGAGGACCAAGATTTTTCCTGTTTGCCTGAAAAATAAAAGGGTGGGGGGAGAGAAAAGTAGAATGAAAGAAGGATGAGGGGATAGAGAAAAGGAGAGAGATGGAGGGAAAGAGGGAGAGGGGGAGGGAAGAAAAAAGAGGAAAAAAGAAAAAAGAAATTTACATGATAACTTTGTTGGTATTTAAAAGGAATAGCAAGTTGTACATAAGAGATTTGCAGTTTCACATGCAATCATCTTTTTTGTTATACTGTGTTATGGAAATGCTTGTTTTATTCCATAAATTAAAAATAAAAGAAATTTTT